GTTGGGTCCTGAAGTCTTGGTAGGGGTAAGTGGCGTCCGGTAGCGATGGTATGGAGCATTCTTTATTGGGCGGGGGGTCCTGTTCTCGGTCTGTGTCCCCCTGGGTGAGCGGTTTGGTCGTTGTAGCGTCTCTTCGACGGGGTTTGTCCTCTCAGTCGTGGGGCATTGTGCTGCGGAGGCTGGTGTAACGGACCATACCAGTCAGGGATATGGACTTCTGGCAGGTCAAGGGCTGAGGTAAATGTTTGTGTATCTTCGGCTGATGAGAGGGTGGCAGTGACCCCGTTGTGTGTTGCTGTGATGGCGAGGGGGAATCCCCATCTGTAGCGTATATTCCTGGATCTTAGGAGGTCAGTGAGTGGCTTCATGACCCGTCTTGCTTGGAGAGTCATCCAGGATAGGTCTGGGTATATCTGTACTGGCCGCCCATGGTAGAGCAGTGGTTGGGAGGTCTGGCGGAGGCTCCTTAGGATGTCCTCTTTGATGCTGTAATAGTGCAGCCTGCAGATCACATCTCTGGGGGAGTCCCCCCCAGGGCTCCTAGGTTTGAGTGCTCTGTGCGCTCTGTCTAGCAGGATGGGCATTGTTGTGTCTCGTTGGAGGATTAGGTTAAAGAGTTCTTGCAGTGTGGAGTGGAGGTCTTCCCCCTCAGCCTCAGGTAGGCCTTTAATCCTTAAGTTGTTACGGCGCCCTCTATTGTCCAGGTCGTCAAGTGCTCTGTACATAGCTGCCATTTGTGTGTTATGAGCTGTCACTGTACTTTGCAGGGCTTGTAATTGTGTGCATGTGCAGTCATGTTCATTTTCTAGGGAGTTAACCCTGTCACTGACCTGTCTGACTTCTGTGAAGATGTCCATCTTCTTTTGAAAGGTCACTTCGAGTTTCTGCAGCATAGTAGCCAGATCCTGCTTGGAAGGGAGATTCCTGAGTATTGCTTTCAAATCCTTGTCCCGATCAGTGTCAGACGTGAGAGAGATGCTGTCCGACGCCGCCGGGCTGGAGGGCCCTGAGGAGTGCTCCGCCGGGTCGTCCGGCGCCATATTGGAGCCTGCGGCCTCATTTCGCCGGTCGCCCTGATCCTTGAAGTATTTAGTGAGGTTGCTGGATTTCGCCACGGAATGTTTGCCCGCCGTGTTAGGGGCTGTTGAGAGGCGTTTGGGGTGTCCCATGTTGCAGGAGGTGCCCGATGGATGCGGATTGCCCTGTGTCTCTTTCGGAGCTCTGCTAGCAAGCGTCCATTCGCGCTCGCGGTTCTTGTATATATTTTTTTATGTATATAGTTAGGTGTTTTTAGGTGATTAGGATTTTGGGATTGCTATTTCATATATCTTATATTAAACGTTAAGTTTTAACATATATATAATTTGCAGTCTCTCAGGGTTCCACTCCTTAGGCTAATATTCTATACCTTTACCAATCTCTCCTGATATCTTTTTTTTTTTAGTAATCTCAACGAAAACTGCACCATTCAGCCGTATGCATTCTGAGTAAACTTTAAAATTAGTGTTTCACACACAGTGTGGGAAAGACAAATGAATGAATAGAAATGTCAGACGAAGAAACAAACAAACACTGAATATCAGTGTTCGTTTGTTTGTTAAGTTTATTACAAGGAGGGAGCTACCGGCGCGCAGCTCCCTCCTTGTAATATGTAAAAATAGAAGCGGCAGGGAGCAGTGCTTCCCGCCACTTCCTAAGCACCTAATGTACTCCCTCGCTCTATGGTGATCAATATGACCCCCCATAATAGCATAAGGGAGATTAAAATCTCCCAAATGCCCCTACTCGCTCTACAGTGAGTATGGGGCATGTCTACTAAACAGTGATCAGCCTGTTTAGGCCCCCTGACCTATTGTCCTCCCCCCAGTCCCCACCCCTGAGCGGCGGGTGGGGGCCCTAAATGAAAATAACCCCCTTCCAAGGTGAATAGGGGTCCCCAAGCCCCTAGTCACCCCCCAACCAAATAAAAAATAATACCCTACCTACCTCCCTCACCCTAAAAATAGTGAGGGGGGAATAAAAGAACAAACTACCTGTAAAAAAAAATAAAACTTATCATTTGATGTCTTCTTTTTTCTAAAATCTTAATTTTTTCAGCCCCAAAAAAGCCAAATAAAAACCATCATACCCGGGGGCGGGGCCTGACTGCTGAGAACAGAGGAAGCATACTTGCAAAGCTCCTGCTCAACGGTGCTAAATAATTGGATTTCACTAGCCAAAACGGGATCTGATCGGTCCAAAAGGGCCTTCATATGACAGGAGAAACCCAGGGGCACACAATGATGCCACACAAGCTACGATTCCGGCTTACAGCACCTGTTCACCCCGTGAAGCCTATACATGTGGTCGGCGTGAGGGAGACGGCCGCTCCCCCGCTTGCACTTGCGGCCGACAAGCGGAGACCAGATCCCTGTTCCCCCCCCTCTGGACCGGTGGGGGTTATCCCGGTCCACCCTCGGGAGACCCTGATACAGCCCGGTAGGACTGCCGTGGTGACACAGAGGCCTCCCTCAAGCGACGACACAGCACCCAAAATGGTGGAGGCAACGTGTTTTCCCGGCACTCATGCTGTGCTGCCAGAGGTCGAGAATCGGCTGGACAGAGCCTTCCAAATCTTTTGGGAAAAGCTGGAGGCCCTCCTGTTCCTGACGGACCCAGAGGCTGTGCCAGAAACCGGGCTACATGCTCACCCACACCAGGTCAAGCGGGAGGAAGCACAGACTCCCCCGGCATCAAAACACCCAGGGGGTTGGAGGCAACGAGACAACCACAAGCAGCGGGAGATCATAGATCAGCCGGGCGGCAACACGAGCACACCGACGGCCCTGCAGAACAAAAGAACAATCGCACGGACGCACATCAGCCCGTCCTCATGCCAACTGGATAGCGGCGACCCAACACCAGGAGACCAGACCCACAACCCAGTAAGGAGCAGTGCGAATTATATGTACCACAAACCAAGCATGCCTGCGCTGCAGCTAGCACAGCTCGGACAGATCTCGGACACCCTGCCGGAACACTACTCCAACCTTACCTGTCCCCACTCCTGCAGGACGCTGGGCCTGACACCGGGACTCTTATGGCAGAATTTAGTCTGGCTCCAACGGGGAATTGGCTGACTCTACAGATAAGCAGAGGACTCTCCCACCCCTGGCAAGTAGTCCCAAGGGCACCCTTACCAGACTCAAAAGTTTTACAAGCACGCATTTTAAGTTTTATCTTAATTTTTTACAATTCTTGCGGTTAAAATTAGAAAAGGACGGGAACAGAACTGCATATAAACAGGGCCAGTGTACTAATTTCTGTATGCAAGCCCATTACATGACTCGCTAGTCTCACAGCATAGCGGGTTAGGCACCTGTGCACATTAGTATTGCCTCATCATTTTTATTTGTACCATTATCGTTTATTTCCTTTTGTTTCAAAATGTTTGGTTGCCGACCTATGCCCACAATCACTACTCCTGTATAAAAGCTAGACTAAGCCTGTATTACTCAGCTCGTAGGTTACTCTAAAATGCTTAAAATCAGCTAACTAGACATACCAGCAATGTTATCAACTATGAGACAGAATTAGCAGTTAGACTCTCTATTGTTTACCACTCAAACTCTCTTTAAACATAAAAATTGTGCTAGATTTTCTCATGTACCTCTATGTTCAAATGTTTCTAATGTGTTGGAGGAATGCCTTTGGGGTACCTCACAACCATCTGTTAAAAACTTAAGCACTACAAAAAAAAAAAAAAAAAAAAAACCATCATACCCGTCGAGCTTGTAAAAAATAAAATAAAAAAACCCAAGCGCAAAAGAAAATCTGATGAAAAAGAAAAAAACAGACGCTAAAATTTTTATCAATCTTCACCCAGCGAGGGCACGCAGCAGACTGAGCACGCAGGGCGGGGAAAGGCTTATAAAGCCTTGCCCCGCCTTGCAATTAGGCTCAAAACACTCTGATTGGTTGACTTGGAATTCAATCAGAGTGCTAGTCATTTTACACAGCGTGGTAAAGACAAATGAATGAATAGAAATGTCAGACGAACAAACAAACACTGAATATCAGTGTTCGTTTGTTCGTTCAGTATATTACAAGGAGGGAGCTACCGGCGCGCAGCTACCTCCTTGTAATATGTAAAAATAGAAGCGGCAAGGAGCAGTGCTCCCTGCCACTTCCTAAGCCCCCCATGTACTCCCTCACTCAATGGGGATCAATATGACCCCCATAATAGCATGAGGGAGATTAACATTTCCCGAATGCCCCTACTCGCTATACCACGAGTAGGGGCATGCCAACTAAAGCAGACTGTGGCTGCTCACTATATAAAAAAAAAAAAAACACAAAAAAACCCTAGTAGCTAATTGATACTTTGTAGCGATTTACACAGCTTTGTTCTAAGTGTTAATCTGGGTGGCCGCAATTCCTATGGACGACCACGAGGTGGCGGCCATCTTGTTTGCATGAGCACAGGCAACAGTGTTAAGTCATTAAGTTCATGGAACTATTTTTTAACACTGAAACTCCCGAACAACGCTGGACTTCCATGATCGCTTGCGTTCAGTTCTACAACACTTAAAAAGACACTGTTCGGTGGAAATGTCACCACGAACAAAGGGAATAAGCTCCAGGGTAAGAACATTGACTATGTTCAGTAGTTTGTTAGGTTTTTAAACTACCGAACTAGACTGACCGCAAGCCCTAATTCTCTGGAACTGTTCTGGGCATGGGACCATGCATGCAGTAGGTCAAATTATGACTTTCAGGAAATTCCTGAACCCCTGAACTCATCTGGGTGATTTTTAGATATGTTGGTCACCCAGATCGGGGCTATCAGGGGATGTAACTTTTGTGGGGTTTTATGTATGTTTAATGTACTTTTGGGGTGTTTGGGAAATGTGTGTCTTTTGTACCTGGAGATAATTGAGTTTAATACAGTGCTTTATCTCCCAGGCACAGGGGAGGGATTATCTTGTTTTATATGGGAGTGTCCTGTACCTGAGAGCCAATGTAATTAAGTGTTCTTGCATAGCAAAACCACTTAATGTTATCTCACATATATATTATTCTCATTCTTATTATAGCCAAATTTACCACCCTAACTCCTCCCACAGTTTTTACACTACATAGACAGTAATATACAGAAACGTGCGGATTGTTCCCGATTGGTGTGCTATTACTTTGTGGAATGTTTTGCCGAATGGTTCACTGAATATCGTCGTTCTTGTGGCGAAATTGGTCCCATAGGAATGAATGGCAAAATGTTCAAAACTAGAGTGGGAGCTGGCAAAAGCTGAAAAATCAGGACATGATTTCTAAACTGCCACCACTACCTCATTTTCAAGCCCACCTACACAAATCTTATATCATAACGTTCAGCTATCCCGTCTGCCACTAAACATGTCCACGGCTAAGCCATAGTCCAGATAGTTTTCACAATATGACCATTTGTTTGCAACTCACGCCGTCCATTGACATTCATTGAAACTCCACTCTAGCCAGCTCAAACTTGAAGGGCAAGTTTTAAACTTCATTTTTAATACTTCAGAGACATACTATGCATCAAAATGTAGGTCTGGGTCTTGTGATTCTCACAATATAAAGCTCTTCGCTGTAGGATGTTTTTAAAATATGACCGTTTGAAGATGGCAACCGCCAATATACTCTGACCTGCGCCAGGCAGGAGCAGCAAGTGATGTCATAGACAGGGCCTTTTGTACACCTGCTAATGGTTTTTATAAATGTATGTTTTAATGTAACTGTGAAGCACTTTGGGCAACAACGTTGCAATTAAATGTGCTATATAAATAAATAATAACAGTTACTCTGCCCACTTCAGTTGTAGACTACTGGTGGAGGCAAGAACACTTCACACAATTTCCCCAGAAATTGTAGCTTTTCTAGTTGTGTGTATGTTTTTACTGTAGTCTACTCTCAGGTCCAGGGGTGAGTGCCCCTTGCATGGCGACCTGCATATTGTGGCTGCCAATAAATGTATTCCCGCTTGTACTCCTAGAACTATGTTTCGTCTGGTTACCGGGTGGGGAAAGGGCTATTCTTTAATCACTGTTCCAGTGTGGAGGATTCAACGGGGAAAATCCTTCTAAGGACTAGAGCTCCCAGGACTAAGTGTCATCTAGTGCCTGGGGGTGTCTAGAGCGAATTCCCCATTCAACTCCAGGAGGAAGTGGTTCCAGGACACCAGTCAAGCCACGGCGACTGTGGCCAGAAGTGCTGCGGTTTATCCCTGTTCCAGCTAGGAAGTGGTACTTGGTAGGCATGTGCATGGGAAAATTTTTCGGTTTGGTTCGGGACTTCGGCACTTCAGCAATTCAGAACTTCGACACTTCGGAAATTCGGTAATTTCGGAACTTCGGGACCTCGGCAATTCAGCACTTCGACACTTCGGAACTTCAGCAACTTTGACACTTCGACACTTCGGGACTTCGGAATTTCGGAACTTCGGAATTTCTCTTGCAACCGCTTGGTAGATAACTCCCTAATTCCCACAGTATTAGGGATTTATCTACCAAAAGGCTGAAAGACCTAAATTGGTCTTTCAGCCAAATTTACTAATACTAGGAAAAATTACTTAGTATTAGTAAATTGTGCCCCTACTCACTATACCCCCTCATTCTAATTTAGCGCCCCCACCCACTGCTCAGGGGTGGGGGCCAGGGGGGAAGACATTAGGTCCCCCCAATTAGTATTTAGGGCCCCCACCCACCGCTCAGGGGTTGGGGCCAGGGGGGGAGGACATTAGGTCCCCCCTAATTAGTATTTAGGGACCCCACCCACCGCTCATGGGTGGGGCCGGGGGGAGGACAATGAGGGAGTCCTCTCCCTCATTCTAATTTAGGGCCACAGGCTGCTCACTGTTTACTAGACATGCCCCTACTCGCAGTATAGCGAGTAGCGGCATAATTTACGAATTCTAAGTAATCTTTACTTAGTATTAGTAAATTTGGCAGAAATTTAGGGCTTTCAGCCTTTTAGTAGATAGCTCCCTAATACCGTGGGAATTAGGGAGTTATCTACTTATCCATTCCTGTCATTACATGACTGGCTAAGTAACTTACATTTTATATGAATGTATGTTACTTGATTGTTCTAAGTGTTGCAAATGCTTACAGCTGAATCCTGGCTATGTTTGTATACTTTTTATTTAAGATTGTATACAGTGTAACATTCTTCTTCTTCCACTGGGTAAGTATTTTAGTACTTAGGCAATACTGTGCTTCGGAACTTCGGCACTTCAGCACTTCGGCACTTCGACACTTCGGAAATTTGGTAATTTCAGAACTTCGGGACCTCGGTAATTTGGCACTTCGGCTATTCGGACATTTGGAAGTACCCGAATGTCCGAATTGCCCGAAATTCGTCCAAATTCATATTCGGCCCAAAACGAATTGCACATGTCTAGTATTTGGCGGAGGTCCCAGCCAGGGGTACAGGGAGCTCCGTTACATAAGGTTTTTAACAGGACTAATCTGCTTGGTCATAAGGTTCTTTTGAACAGAAACAAGGCTCCTTCATGTTTAAGATTGAGATTCGAAACCAGAATCTCAATTTTTACCAACTTGAAGGTGAGGATGGCATGGACAAGGATCCAGAGGTCAATCTTTTTTTCAACATCCTTTTGGTGAGTACTTTTCAGAATCTTTTCCAAAATTGGTCTATTCTGACAAATGATGCTTGGATGCTGCAAACTGTGAAAGGATTTTGTGTAAATTTCACCAATCCATTCATCCTATGAGACTGTCTATAAATAGAGCAGAACATCATGGAACTAAACAAGAAAGGTGACATTTCAAAGAATTGCAAAACAATTCACCAGGTTTTGTGAGCAACCTGATTCTGGTACAAAAGAAAGGCGGTTAAATGAGACCAGTTGTAAATCTCAGATATTTGAATACTATGATTGTCTATCAATATTTCAAAATGGAGGGCATCCAACGTCTAAAAGATCTGATGATTCCATCAGATTGGAATGCCAAGATAGGTCGAAAGAATGCATACCTTACAGTGTCTATTGCAAAAGAGTTCCAATGTATCCTTCAAATTAACAAATTAGCAATTCACTTGCCCTCCTTTCAGTCTGCCATCAACCCCTTGATGGTTCACCAAGTTGAAGAAACCAGTTGTAGCCAATCTTTGCCACAGGTGCATATGTATGGTAGTATATCTCAATAACATTCTATCAATGTTTCAGAATGCTTCTGTTCTAAAGCATCCTATTCATTGGACCATAAGGTTATAAGACTCATAGAGTTTCAAGGATTCACAGTGAACTTGATTATGTCAAGCTTACCACTCTCCAAAATAAAGTGTATAAAAAAGGAGATCTGACATTCATTGAACAGAGCAACGTTAACGTTGAAACAATTAGTGAGAGTAATGCGTCTTTTATCTGCTTTGCTTCTTGCTATTTTCAATGGAGCTTTTACAGAGCGTTTCAACATTTGCAAATGCAGGCATTGTGTAGAGGTCTGATTTATTCAAACACTTTAATGCTGCATTCAGAAGCCTGAGAGGTGCTCTAATAGTGCCTTCATCATATGGACCAGTGCAATTGGCAGGAATTTTTTATGTAATTCCAGAGATGGTGAATGAATAAAACGCCAGCAGAATAGGCTAAAGTGCTTGCTGGAAATATATTTCTAAATGGTCTGATCAACAGCCTAGAATTATTTTAGGTTATTTCACACTGAAATGTTTCTGGAAGCAACAATCTCATCAAGCACTCCTTCTCTTAATGGACAATATCTCTGTAGTTTGATATGTGAATCATTTATACAGCAGGAAACACTCTTGATCTCGCCTTCACCAATCTCTGTACCACCTCTAATCTTTCCAGTATTACTTTTCCTCTATCTGACCACCATCTGCTGACTTTTGACATCGGCATACCTAAGACCCAATTGACACCACCGTCTGAACATCAATCTCACAGAAACCTCCAATGTCTTGACCTAGAGCATTTCTCCACTAATCTCCAAACCCTTTTAATGATCTCAAACCTCACCTGTCCTTCTACAATTCCACCCTCTCCTCTCAACTAGACATCATGGCACCTCCTACCTCCCACCTCTGCCCTCAACAACAACCGTGGCACACCAAGTTGACTCTGTCTTCTTCTCTTTCTCCACCTCTCACTAAAATTCTCAATCTCTCCTCTGGCATATTTCCATTCCATATTCCAGTCCATGCAACTGTAACCCCAATTCTAAAGAAGACCAACCTTAACCCTAACTCCCCATCCAACAACCGTCCTATCTCGCTACTGCTTTTTGCATCCAAGATCCTTGAAAGAGTTGTGTATGCAAGGTTGACAGACTTCCTAACTCTCTGCTAGACCCACTTCAGTCTGGTTTCTGCGCTAAGCACTCAGTGGAAACAGCACTGACCAAGGTATTGAATGATCTACTCACTGCAAAATCTCGTGGTCACTACTCTATCCTAATTCTCCTTGACCTGTCTGCGGCTTTTGACACTGTTGATCATCAACAGCTTCTTCTCATCCTCTGCAATATCAGTCTACAAGATATTGCTCTCTCCTGGTGCTCCTCCTATCTCTCCCAGCGCTCTTTGAGTGTTTCTTTCTCTGGCTCTGCTTCTTCTCCCCAACTCCTCTCTGTTGGTTCAGTCCTTGGTCCCCTACTGTTCTCTATCTATACTGCCTATCTTGGTAAACATATTAGCTCCTTTGGCTTTCAATATTATATCTTTGCAGATGACACACAAATCTACCTGTCCTCTCCTGATCTCTCCCTGTCCCTCTTGACTAGTGTCTCTGACTGCCTCTGCTATTTCTAGCTGGATGGCTGCCCACTTCCTTAAAATCAACTTGACCAAAACTGAAATTCTAGTCTTTCCTCTCTCAAGTGTTGCTGCTCCTGTGTCTGTCTCCTTCCAAGTCAACAATGCTACCATCTGCTCCACCATGCAAGCTCGCTGCCTAGGTGTTCTTTGACTCCGACCTCTCCTTCATGCCTCATGTTCAGTCTATCGCCAAATGCTGTAGTTTCCATCTCAAAAACATTGCACACATCCAACCCTACTTAAAGCCAGGTGCGACTAAGGTGCTGGTCGTTTCCACTGTTCTTTCTCGCCTTGACTACTGTAATCTGCTTCTCAGTGGTCTTACATGCTCCCAACTTGCGCCGTTACAGTCCATAATGAATGCGGCGGCGAGGCTCATCTTCCTGTCCGCCCGCACCTCCCACGCCTCACCCTTCTGTCAGTCCCTACATTGGCTTCCTGTAAGATATAGGGCTCAATTTAAAATTCTGGTTCTTGCTTTCAAATCTCTACATAATGCTGCTCCCACCTATCTATCCTTACTAATACACAAGTATGTCCCGTCTAGGCCCTTACGCTCTGCTGAAGACTTCCGTCTATCTTCTGTCCGTACTCCCACCTCTGATGCTCACCCTCAAGACTTCTCCAGGGCTGCACCGTTCCTGTGGAACTCACGTCCCTCCTCCATAGATGCTCACCCAGTCTCCACTCCTTCAAAAAAATCAATAAAAACCCACTTTTTCATAAAAGCATATCAATTAAACTTTTAATAGCTCCCGACCGATTCCTCTCTTGCAACTGTCATTAGTCTAATACTATCCTTACCTTTTGTGTCACTTTACCCCACTCCCTCTAGCATGTAAGCTCATTGAGCAGGGCACTCAACCCCTCTGTTCCTGTGTGTCCAACTTGTCTGGTTACAACTACATATCTGTTCGTCCACCCACTGTAAAGCGCTGCGGAATTTGTTTGCGCTATATAAATAATAACATAATAATAATAATAATAATCTTGGAGGTTCAAAATTTAAAGATTTAACAAACATGGCCAAAACTTTTGGGGAATTTTGCTTAATCTGTGCAAGCCAAGTATTTACCAGGCATATCAAATATTATTGTACACTGGCATTCTCTGAGTCTCTCTGACAATAGTGATTGGTTCCTAAACAGGACAGTTTTCAAGAAAATCAAAATACTTTGGGATGCATTTCAGATACGAGTGTTTGCAAGCAGACTTAACACCCAATTGAAATTTAACAGCTCAGACCAAGATATTTCTCCCATTTCCAATGATTCCCAAAACTCTATCTCAAGAAAGGAATCAGGAAGCTACAATAGTACTGTTGACACTGTTTTGGCCAATGCAAACATGGTTTCCACAATTTTTAATAATGCCAATGTATATCCCTCTAATGTAGCATTTCCCAATTGGTGTTCTGGGGAACCCTGGGGTTCCACAAGAACAAAATTGGGGTTCCACCGCAATTCGCCACAACCAAGATGGCCGCTGCTACCTGCTTTTCCTGGAAGGTCGGAAACAACAGAGATCACGCAACTGCGATCTCATTAAGAGAGGAGCACGATCTAAAGCCTGCCCTGCCCTGCCGTCAGCCCACCTTTCCGTCAACCCACCCTGCCATCTGCCATTTCCTATCACTCGTGGTAGAGAGTGATAGATAGTGGACCTGAAAGTGCAAGCTGGGCATTGAAATTGTTTGTTAGGGACATTGAAAGGCTCTGTTAGGTAGGGATATTGAAAGGCTCTGTTAGGTAGGGGCATTGAAAGGCTCTGTTAGGGGTATTGCAAGGCTCTGTTAGAAGCATTGAAAGACTCTGTTGGGGGCTAAAAACTGTTAACTGAAAAAAATTAGTTGGGCTGGGCTCAAGGCCAGATTAAGAGCCCAGTGGGCCTGGAGCTGACAATTATGATGGGTCCAATTACAGAATTTTATCGACCAAAAACACTAAAACAACCATACCTCCCAAGTGTCATGTATCTTATGGAGATGGTGTTGGAGGTGTTATGGGTAAATGCAAATATTACAGATTTTAGAATGAAATGTTGTATTTCTTAAACTGTGTACTTTGTCTTTAAGAGATATTGCAAACTGACAAGGTGTTAGAAATGGAACATATTGTTTTTCATAACTGTTTCTTTAAGTAACCTACCTACAGTGCATAATATGTTTGCGCCATTTTGTCCCAGACGAATTACAATAACAATAATGCATAAACAAGCTTCAAGGCTATGCTACGACTCTTTCAGTACGTGATATACTGTGGTAACCTTAGTAGATAGGGATGTTGAGACTTTAAGATGCCATCTTGAAGTCAGGAACATTTCCATGACGTATGCCCCCTTTAGTTATGGCCTTGTATGTTTGCCAAATTAAGGGAGGTCCTAAAATTAATAAAGTAAAAGTGTTACTTTTTCATATATGAACTACGGTAACCCTAAAATGGAGACACCTAAGGTATAAATAGGTGTACTTTTAAATGTTAAGACACAGAGGAGAGACTTGGAGACAGACGCTGCTCCATCTTAAAATTACAGAGAGGCTGACATGAGGCATGAAGGAGAGGTCGGAGTCAAAGAACACCTAGGCAGCGAGCTTGCATGGTGGAGCAGATGGTAGCATTGTTGACTTGGAAGGAGACAGACACAGGAGCAGCAACACTTGAGGGAGGAAAGACTAGAATTTCAGTTTTGGTCAAGTTGATTTTAAGGAAGTGGGAAGCCATCCAGCTAGAAATAGCAGAGGCAGTCAGAGACACTAGTCAAGAGGGACAGGGAGAGATCAGGAGAGGACAGGTAGATTTGTGTGTTCAGAAGGGTATGTTAACTTATTAATAATATTTGCAAGCATTTAGTTTAATCTTATAAACTCTGCTATAATGGATTTTATGTCTATATTTATATTTTTATATAATTATCTAAAAGACAAAACTTTATTGCTTCCAAGACAATCCTTATTTTATATTGTATTCTCAATTATTTATATATGTTAAATATAGGATCTCTTACACTAACTATATGAAATTATGGCTAAAAAATCTGTATGGTTAGCCCTACTAAGTTCTATGCTTTAAGACTTTATAGTGGTAAATAAGGGAACCATCCGCGGTTACAGAGGGAAACTCAAACGATGCAGCTATACGAAAACACATACACTATGTGTTTCTCTCTTTAATTTATGCTGTCATCTTTAAAATAAATTCATACCCCCTAACAGCAGTGTCCAGTGAAGCAGGAAGTCAATGGGCGGTGTAAAAGGGTGTGCAATTGACGCAAATCATGTGACCAGACCTGCCAAAAGGGATGAACATGCCCAAAAAGGGGGCATGCTTGTCCAAAGAATTGGAAGGTATCATGGCCAATCATGCAGGCTGTCCAACTAAGGGCATACTATGCAGGCAGCACCCTGAGCTTGACATAAATACATCGAATGATGCGCCTACTCCATGCTTTCTAAGGACTGTCCCATACCACTCATATGTCCACTTGTCTCCTTACCTTCTTACTAGCAGGCAGAAGCTCCTGGTATACAGTCTGGGACAGAGTAAAGGTGTATGTAGTGAGTGTAGAAGAAAGGGGACATGCCACAGTGTTAGAGAAACCAAAGTCTGCATTACCTAAACTAATTTTATTGTCAGCCAGTCCACACAAGTTTTGTTGCCATACATCCCTCTTAAGCTTCCAAACTTAAAGGGACACTATAGTCACCAGAACCAGCTTATTGTATTTGTTCTCGTAAGTAGAATCATTCTCTTCAGGCTTTTTGCAGTAAACACTGTCTTTTCAGAGAAAATAACTCCACTGGCCACTCCTTAGATGACTGCTAGAGGTGCTTCCTGGGGCAGTACTGCCTAGTGCAGCACTGCCATTCAGTGTCTCCAACCTCGGCATGCAGACACTGAACTTTCCTCAAAGAGATGCATTGATTCAATTTATCTGTTTGAGGAAATGCTGATTGGCCAGGACTATGTTTGACTTGTGCTGGCTCTGCCCCGATCTACCTAGTTGACAGTCACAGCCAATCGTATGGGGAAGCATTGTAATTTGCTCCGACCACCACTTCTGATGATGTCAGCAGTCAGTCAGTTCAGAGGCAGAGCCAGCAGCTGCAGACTTGAATACAAGTAAGATTTTACTATATTTAGGGAGGCAAAAGGGGACAGGGTGGCTAGATGGTGGTTTTTACATAGATTGTGTTCCTGATCCTATAGTGTTCCTTTAACCCCTTAAGGACACATGACATGTGTGACATTCTATGATTCCCTTTTATTCCAGAAGTTTGGTCCTTAAGGGGTTAAGCAAGAGTATGTGAAGAGTAGTTAGGGTTGCCATCTTTCTTGGAAGAAAATACCAGCCTTAATCATTTATATAATTAATTAGTTATGCGTGACATCACATGATGTAAATCACAAGGAGTGACATAAGAGAAAATTCTGTAAAATCACCAACAAACTACAGTTTGATTATGCTGTATAGATAATTTTCTCCCAGTGTCTCCCTGTCTCCCAGTGTCTCAGTCTCACAAGTCACCTAGTGTCTCAGTGTCCCTATGTATCAGTGTCAGTGTCCCCATGTCACCCAGTCCCCTCTTCTCCCATTTCTCCCAGTGTCCCCATGTCTCCCAGTGTCCCCATGTCTCAGTGTGTCCCCATGTCTCAGTGTGACCTGGTGACACATGAGGGCACTGAGATACTTGGGGACACTGGGAGACATGGGGGCACTTGTGAATACAGACTTGGGGACACTGGGAGAAATGGGGGCACTGAGACACTAGGGTCACAGAGACTGGGAGACATGGGGACACTGGAAGATTTGGGGACACTGAGAGACATGGGAACACAGACACTGGGATACATGGGGGCCCTTGTGAATACAGACATGGGGACACTGGGAGACATGGGGACACTGGGAGAAATGGGGGCACTGAGACACTAGGGACACAGAGACTGGGAGACATGGGGACACTGACAGACATGGGAACACAGACACTGAGAGACTAGGGGAAACTGGTAGTCATGGGGACACTTGTGGACGTAGACATAGGGACACTGGGAGACATGGGGACATGGACATTTGGGGATACTGGGAGCCCTGGGGACACTGGGAGACATGGGGACACTGAGGACACTGGCTGGGAGCCCTGGGGACACTGGGAGACATGGGGACACAGACACTGGGAGACTTGGGGACACTGTGAGACATGGGGACACTGAGGACACTGGCTGGGAGCCCTGGGGACACTAGGAGACATGTGGACACAGTCACTGGGAGACTAGGGGAAACTGAGCCATGGGGACACTGAGCCCTAGTGTCTCCATGTCCCAATGTCTCAGTGTCTCCCAATGTCCCTATGTCTCACAGCATCCCCATGTGTCTCAGCGTCCATATGTCAAACAGTGTCCCCATGTTTTCCAGTGTCCCCTAGTGTCTGTGTCCCCTAGTGTATCAGTGTCCCCATGTCTCCCTGCTGCCTTTCCTCTCATCACTCACTTACCTGAGCTGTAGAGCTGCTGTCTGGACTCTGTGCTGTGTAGCTGCTCCCCCACAGATCAGTGAGTAGTAGAGAGAGGCAAGCATATGCTGTAACTTGCTATCCTTGCCTCTCTCAACACACAGTGACCCATACTGGCCGGTACTGGTATTGCAGAGTAATCTCCATTTATACTGAGACAAATACCTGCATTTGTATTGCCGGGATTACTGCAATACCGGCATGGCCAGGCAGCCTCAAATACCGGCTGCGCCAGTAAAATACCAGTCAGGTGGCAAACCTAAGAGTTTGTGTTTTTTTTTTTTTAAATGGGCCTGGGTATGGAGCTGCAGCTCCATCAGCCCCTATGTTAATCCAGCCCTGGCTGGGCTTCTCATCCTTTTTTTTTTTTTTTTAACTTAATTAGAAATAAATTTATTTAAAAAAAAAAAATATATATATATATATATATATATATATAATCTGCTTACTATAAATCTTTATAAATCAGTTTTATACACACAAAAACACATTGCTTTTGCTACAAAAATCTGAGCTGTTAGCAAAACAGTGCAGTCAGGTAGTGAAATCTGTATAAAAGTGTTCTTTATACTCCAAGACTGAGGCATTTACATTAAAACCTTTCTAAGAGCTTTATAACAATCAGCATCCTTTTGCAGTCAGGTAGTGAGATCTGTTTCAAACTGCTCAAATCTTTTTGCTCCAAGACTTACTCCAAATCCTGCTTAAGTTAAAGGGACTCTCCAGTGCCAGGAAAACAAACCATTTTCCTGGCACTGCAGGTCCCCTCTCACTCCCACCTCCCATCCCAGGTTGCTGAGGGGGCTAAAACCCCTTCAGTGACTTACCTGTATCGAGCAGTGCCGTTGTCCCTCGGCGCTGGGTCAGGCTCCACCAACTCTCCTCCCCCGCCGACATCAGCCGGCAGGGGAGACCTAATGCGCATGGCAACAGCAGCCCCATAGGAAAGCATTATATAATGCTTTCCTATGAGGATTCCGGCGACACTGGAGGTCCTAATGCATTGCGTGAGGACGTCCAGCATCTCTTAAAACACTAAAAATGTTTTAAGAACCCTGAAGCTCCTCTAGTGGCTCTCATAGAAAGCCAGTAGAGGAGGACTTAACCCTGTTAGGCAATTAGAGCAATTTATGAAAAACTGCACTAATTACACTTGCAGGGATAAGGGTAGTGGATGCTGGCACCCAGACCACTCCAATGGGCAGGAGTGGTCTGGGTGCCTGGAGTGTGCCTTTAAGTTTCTTTCTTTCAGCATCCATTGCAGTCAGGTAGTGAGATCTGTTTCAAAGTGTTCAAATTTGTTTGCTACAAGACTGCTTAAGTTATGTTCTTTCTAAGAGCTTTTAAAACACAGCATCATTCTGCAGTCAGATAGTGAGATCTGTTTCAAAGTGTTCAAATCTTTTTGCTCCAAGACTGACTACAAATCTTGCTTAAGTTAAGTTTTTTTCTAAGAGCTTTATAAAACACAGCATCCTTTGCAGTCAGGCGGCAAGATCTGTATTTTTACCAATAAACAACTATGAATTTGGAAAGCTGGTTAAAGCTGGGAACTCTTCAGAGAAAAAGTATTACTGCTTCTACCTGTTCGACACTTATAGAAACTGAGAAAGAAGATACAACTAAATATACAGAAAACAAGCCCGAAATAGTTGAATCTACTGTTCCTCAAATAGCAGAGAAAAGTTACAAGTCAATGAAAAAGTAAAGGACACTAAGCTACCCAATCTTCTTCTCAAACAAAGAAAAGAAAATATGATGATAGCTACTTTTCATCTGGATTCACAAGTGGCAGAAATGAAGATTGTCCTGAAGTACAATGCTTACTTTGCAATAAAGTATTGCCAAACCGTTCGTTAGCACCTGCTAAATTACGTCGTCATTTTGAGCAAAACCACCAAGAGTACAAAGATAAAGACATTGCCTTTTTTAAGCGAAAGCTTCAGGAGTATCAGAAGACTAAACAGTTTATGAGCAAATAATTTAAAAATTATAATGAAAAAGCCACAGAGGCTTCTTACAAAGTGTTTTTACCGCATAGCACTTGCCGCAAAAGTACACACAATTGGTGAATCACTAATAAAACCATGTGCAAAAGAAATAGTGTCATGTATTTTAAGTGAGAAGTTGAGTAAAAAAAAATTTAAGCTGTGCCACTTTCCAACAACACAGTTTTGTGCCGTATTCATGATCTTGCTGATGACATCCATGCTGAACTAATCCATACATACTGCATCAATGTGATGGGTACTCACTCCAATTAGACGAGTCCACATATGTTGCAGGACTTTCAGTTTTGTTTGTTTTTGTTAGATATAATTTTGACAAACAGATTAAAGAAGACTTGCTTCTGTGTGAAACTTTTCAAACTCATACCACTGGTGAAAACATCTTTAACTGTATCCAGAAGTTCATGAACACACAGTATAAATTGGAACAAATGTGTAGATGTGTGCAGTGATGGTGACAAAGCAATGGTTGGGAAAGTGGCAGGCGGTGTGAAATGAGTAAGAAATGTGGCAAAAAACAGCACTCACTGTGTTCTTCACAGACATGCACTGGTAGCTAAAAATATTTCAATCTCACTTAAAACTGTGCTAGATGAATCGGTCCAGATTATTCATTTTATAAAAAGTCGACCATTAGTCACATCTATCTAAAATTATGTGTAAAGACATGGGTAGTTACCACGCTGCTCTGCTTTTGCATTCAGACGTCCGTTGGCTATCACAAGGTAAAGTCCTTGTTAGAATGTTTGAATTGTGTCAAGAGTTTTTTTCCATATTTCCAGGATCATAAATTTGGATTATTGATTAACAAACACTCTGGGGTTATCCAAAGTAGCATATCTTGCAGACCTTTTCACAAAATTAAATGACATGTTTATAAGTCCAAGGAAAAAATATTAACATTTTTAATGCAAGAGATAAAATATTTTCACTGTCTCATAAGTTGCAGTTTTGTTTTAAAAAGGCTTTTATTCCGTTAGTAACAATAGTACTGATATATAATAAGGATGCAAGTCGCTGTGTCAGTGCCTGCGCAGAGGCTTAGCATAATTTACGATGAACTTGTAAGTGCCTTCACAGAGGCCAGGTATTGTATCACAATATATCATCAATCTTCAGTACGTCCTATGCATATAGGTTCTGATCTGGGCATTTGCATTATAAGCTACCTGGTACGGCCAGCTTAAGTTATTTGTTAATTAAGTTATATGTATCTTGCTCGGTGTTGCATGGATTA